TGCCCTTTGGGGTGGTGGACCACAAGCTCTGCTATGGCTTTCAGCCACAGTGGCGTGTCGTCGTCATGCGCGCGCTGCGCCTTATGTGACGTCCGTCCAAGACATGACATCTCTCCCGCCTCAAGTCCAAATTCGTCCTCGAGCTGAAACGCTGAAACCGAGAGCGGAAGTCATCCAGATCCTCCTGTAGCAGCCGATGGTGGCTCGCCACGCCATTCGACGAAAGCGGTGGCGCGACGCCTGGCGATCCGGGCCTTGGCGACCTTGGTTGGTGCAGAACAAAGAGCCCGTGCGCGTAGTGGGGGTAGTGGTGGAGGGTAGCCGGCGGTGTTCCGGCGAACTTCCCGAGGACGCCGATGTGGAACACGTCGTGCGCCGTGCTCGGGCACCGGAGGCGGACAACCACCTCGTTGATCAACTCCAGGACCTGATCTGCCCCGATATAGCGAGGCTTGAGCTTCCCCTTGGGCGCGTTGGGGAGGGACGCCGCAGCGCGCTGCCGAAGGCGTAGCCAAGCCCAGTCGCCGACCTAGAAGGACACCTGGCGATGGTGCCCGTCGTAGATGCGCTTCTGTGCCGCCTGAGCCTGCTCCAGGCGATAGCGGACGTCGTCGAGGAAAGCAGCGCGCTCTTCCATCTCCTGAGCCACCGCGGCCACCTGGGTTTCGCCCGGCTCATAGGAGCGAATGGTCGGGGGATCCCGGCCATAGACCACCCGGAACGGCGTGTCGCGGAGAGAGGACTGGTAGGCGGTGTTGTAGACGTACTCCGCCCATGGCGACCACACCGAGCCATCGGCGCGCGACGGTCACCGGAGAAAGCAGCGCAAGTACATGACGATGACGCGTTGGCGGCCTCGATGCATCCGTCCGTCTCATGGATGGAAAAAGGATGACATGAAGAGCTTTGTCCCAGTGAGCCGCATAAGCTCCTGCCAGAACGCCGACGTAAACACCGGATCGCGGTCCGAGACAATGGACTGTGGAACACCATGGAGGTGAACGATGTCGGCGAAGAAAGCCTGGGCGACGGACTCCGCGGTGTAGGGGTGTGCCAACGGAATGAAGTGGCAGTACTTGCTGAAGCGGTCCACCACGGAGAGGATGACTGTCTTGCCCTGCACCTTGGGCAGCGCCTCGATGAAGTCGATGCCGATGTCGGCCCAGACCGCGGATGGCAATGGTAGCGGCTGCAGAGTCTCCCCCCCGAGGTGGTCCGACTTGTACCGCTGGCGTACGGTAGGCTCGCATGAACTCCCCGCATCGCGCGCGCATGTTGGGGAAGTGGAAATCTCGCCGAAGTCGATGGAGAGTGCGGTGGATGCCTTCGTGGCCATCGTTGTGGACGGCTGCCACGACCTCCTGGAGTAGCGGCGACGCGGGTGGGATGTAGAGGCGGCCGTCGTAGGTGACCATGCCATCCACCAGCGCCCAGGGGGCAGCGCGGGCGCCCGCACGGACCTCGGTGTAGAGGGCGACCAGGGCCGGGTCGGTGGCCTGGGCATGGCGCAGACGGTCGACGAGGTCGAAGCGGGGCGCCGAGATCACCATGACCTCCCCCTCTTCGGTGTAGCGGCGGGAGAGGGCGTCAGCGACGATGTTTGTGGCGCCGGAGCGGTACTCCACCGAGAAGTCGAAGCCCAAGAGCTTGCCGACCCAGTGGTGCTGAGGGATCGTGGCGAGGCGCTGGTCGAGGAGATACTTCAGGCTGTAGTGGTCCGTCTTGACGATGAAGCGGCGCCCCCAGAGATACGGCCGCCAGTGCCGTACGGCCTGGACGAGGCCGATAAGTTCGCGCTCGTAGGCGGCCAGCGCGCGGTGGCGGGGCGCCATTGGCCGGCTGAAGAAGGCGACCGGGTGGCCTTCCTGAGTCAGGACCGCCCCAAACCCGACGGTCGACGCGTCACACTCGACGGTGAACAGCTTGGTGAAGTCCGGCATGGCGAGGATGGGGGTGGTCGTGATGGCGGCTTTGAGAGCCGCGAACGCCGAGGCTGCCGCGTCGTCCTAGGAGAAGCCGTCCTTCTTGAGGAGCGCCGACAGTGGTGCAGCAAGTGCCCCGTAGCTGTGGACGAACTTGCGGTAGTAGCCCGCCAGACCGAGGAAGCCGCGTACTGCCCGCACCGAGCGCGGAGCCGGCCAGTCGTGGATCGCCTGCACCTTGGCCGGGTCCATGGCCACCCCCTGCGCGGAGATGATGTGGCCGAGGTAGGCGACGGAGGGGGCTCCAAAGGAACATTTGGAGCGCTTGACGAAGAGCTGGTGGCGTCGCAGTTCGTCGAGGACGGCCCGAAGATGACGTAGGTGATCTGCCCATGTCCTGCTGTAGATGAGAATATCATCAAAAAATACCAGGACGAAGCGACGGAGAAACGGCCGGAGCACGTCATTCATCAGGCTCTGGAACGTTGCCGGAGCATTGCATAGCCCGAATGCCATCACCAGGAACTCGTAGAGGCCATCGTGGGTGCGGAACGCCGTCTTGTGAACATCTTCCGGCCGCATCCGCACCTGGTGGTACCCGGACCTGAGGTCCAGCTTGGTGAAGAACTTAGCGCCATGGAGCTCGTCGAGGAGCTCGTCAACCACCGGGATCGGAAAGGCGTCCTTGACGGTGAGCGCATTGAGCGCCCTGTAGTCGACGCAGAAACGCCACGAACCGTCCGGCTTTTTGACGAGGAGGACCGGCGACGAGAAGGGCGAGTCGCTGCGGCGGACGATCCCCTGCTCGATCATAGCGGCGCACTGCCGCTCCAACTCGTCCTTGTGCGCCGCCGGGTACCGATAGGGCCGTACGGCGACGGGCTGGGCGCCGGGCTTCAAGGTGATGCGGTGGTCGTGCGCGCATTTGGGGGGCATACCCGCCGGGTCCGCGAAGAGCCCCGTACGCGTGCAGCAGTGCGTCGAGGAGAGGGCTGGCCTCCGAGGTGGCGCCAGGGACGTCTTGAAGGGCGGCGACGCTTTATCCGAGAGAGATCTGGCGCCCTGGTGCTTTGACGTCATCGCGCCGGCCGCCGAGGTCCCAGACGATGGGCCTGCGCGCGCCCAGCACCGTGTCCCAGGGACGACGCCGCATTTCGGCCAGCGGGCATGACGAAGAGAGATCGCCGGAACGCGACGCCGCCGATGAGCAGGGGGCGCGCGGATGACGCCGTCGCAGTGACGCGCTTCGCCGTTCGCAACCAAGGCGGTGGCGGGGCGGGCGCCGCGCAGAAGGATGGCGGAACGCCGGGCCGCGCCTCCGAGATGAAGTTATGCGTGCTGCCAGAGTCGAGGAGAGCGACGAGGGCTGCTGCGCCAAGGGCCATGCGGATCTGCATGGTACCCGCCACAGGGACCCCAGCCACGGCCTGAAGGGAAAAGCAGGGGGCCTCGGCGTCGGGCGCGGCCATCGCCGGCTCGTTCGCGACGTCGTCAATCTCGACACCCTCCAGGAAGAAGATGCGCCTGCAAAAACGGTTATGGCCGCGAGTGTATTTCTCGTTGCAGTTGAAACAGAGGCCGAGACGGCGGCGCTCAGCCATCTCCTTGGGCGAGAGGCGGCGATTCCCATCACCGCGGCCCGGCTCGCTGCCACCCGGTGCGGTGTAATGCCGGCCGTGGTGGTGGTGGCGGCGGCCGGAGCGGCGCGCGCGGATGCCCAGCATAGCGCGCGCGGCAGCGGCGGCGTCGGGCGCTCGGCTTCCATCAGCTCGATCTGGCGCGCGATGCTCATGGCAGCGGCGAGCAAGTCGGGGTTGTGGAGGCGAACGGCATGGCTGAACGGTGCCAAAGAGACGCGGTGAGCCGACGCTGACGCTGCTCCTCATCCACCGACCCGCCGAGGCGCGAGCGCGCTGAAACGTTGGAGTACTCCTCGACGGTGCCCGTGCGCCGGCACTCGGTGAGTTCGAACAGCGGCGCCGATCGGAGCGGCGGCCCGAACCGCAGGTTGAGGAACTCCTTGAAGCGCGCCCAGGTGGGCGTGCCGGAGTCCTCCTCGAGCTGGGTATACCACAGCTGCGCGACGCCGTCGAGGTGGTAGGAAGCCTGCCACACGCGTTCCTCCGCCATGGTATGGTGTTGGCGGAAGTAGGAGTCGCATTTGTTGAGGAAGAGCATGGGGTCGGTGGTGCCGTCGAAGCGTGGGAAATCCCACTTCTTGTGCTTGGGCGGGTAGTCAGGGTGCTGACTTTCCGCGCGCCGATCGCCACCGCCGCCGCCGGTGGACGACTCGGACTTCTCCTCCTTCAGCGAGGCCATATCGGCCTTCATGGTAGCCATGTCGTCGGTGAGGGCCTTGATGGCTGCCATGAGGTCGGCTGCGGAGGGCTCGGCCATGATTGGCGCGAGGGAGACGGACGCGGCCGAGGAGGGCGATGGGGGTGCGGCGGAATTGGACTGGGCGGCTGCGGAAGAGGAACGGGAGGAGCGGGTGGGAGAGGATCGACGAGGCCGTGATACCAGGTTGTCAAGGGCACTGTAGTTTAGGGTAGCTGGTCCTCGACTACGTAGCTCGTAGTCTCCGACTGAGTCTTCCAGGGTGGAGGTTATACCCCTCTCAACCGGCTGGGCTTAGGAGGCGTGGAGGAAGAAGAGAATAGGAGATTAATCTTGCTTGATTCATTCTTCCCTGCTTACAGGAATAAATAGCCAATGGCTCAACCAACTATGGAAGGAATTCCCCTAATTATAGGACTAACCAAAACAGCCTCTAACCCAATCCCTGATTTCTAGCCACTGGAAGTTGCCCCTTCAGGCTGGTGGACCGCGCGCTCTGCGCGCTCAGCCGCGCGGCGTACGTCCGTCCACACATGACAGAGTACATATAGGGATGTTGTAGTTTCTTTTAAAAAAAGCGCAAGCACAATAATCATCGGCTCTTTAAAAAAACAGGGGAATGCCATTTTTTTTGTTTGGAAGCCCCTTGCGGTTTAGCTCCAGTGCATATGAAACCTCAAAGTACTGAGTGATTTGAAGATGTGTGACTTGAATCTAATCTCGGTAAGAGACAAACTTTACTCATGAAACCTGGATGACGGTAAATGACATGAGTAACATTTATTTAACAATGGTACAGGACTACTGAGAGGACGTCCAGACAGCCGTGGACAGCGTTGCGAGAATAATCATGGTGTACAGTAATACTATGACATTCACTACTGAGTGTTTTAACAGCTCATAGGGGAAAGTCTTAAAGATTCATCACAGAAAACTAAGGTGCATATTTTTTTTTCTTTATTACATTACATTACAACGATGGCTTCGTTTCTTGTCCCTTTTGACTTTCTCCACCTTCGGCAAGCACTTACTTTGAGTTTTGTGTCTTGTGTGTCGCCTTTCATATCTGCACCCATGCCATCCCTGTATTTGAAAAATAAAAGAAAAGTAGAGAGATTATCTTCTTAGTTTGGGATGCTGAATGCTATGCAAGACAGCAACTAAAGGAATGAATGAACTCGGAGGGGTGCCATTCTCACCGAAGGATTTTCCTCAGCTGTTCGATGTGACCAGTGAGTTCTTGTTGCTTACATATTAGTGTCTGCAGGGTCTGAATTACAAAGAAACTACATTCAGTTGCTATGTAGAACATTTTCTTGGCTGCAATTTTTTGAATTTGGGTTCCTTTGCTCACCTCATTACTCTGAGCAGTGCAGTGTTCAAGTTCTCGGATCTTCTCCGAGATCTGTTCATCGACTTGTTTCCGCAAAATATTTTCACCTGTATCAATTCCAACCTGTCCCATAGAGAATTCAGTATTAATGCGACTTTTCATGCATAACGCAAGGAATACTGGCTGAACTGGCATAGACGTATTTTTCTTTACTTGCTGCCCTGTGAAACTTAAAATTATTTACTGGCACATGTTTTTCCCTGATATGAAGTGAAACTCCACTGGGATAGAAATGAAATTCGAAAATAAAGAAGATGACACAAATAAGACCTGGTCATCTTTTAACAACATGCCAAGAGTTCTTTTCTTACGAGAAGTGGAATCTACTTGTTTTGCGGAAGGCTGCTGCAAACAAAATACGAAGAATCAAGAATCCATGATGATTCTTTGGCAAGGAAAATGAGGGAGAACTAGAAGACAGGAGAGCCAACTTCATTTGGGCATGGCACTAAGCGACGGAAAGGAAATAAACAGGTAGATACAATGTAATGATTATTTTCTCTCAGACTATAATTTTCTGGTAAGGCAAGGTGTGCATGCACACAAGTTGTGTGATAATTATATCTCTTCAGAAAAGAAAACCAAGTGGTGGAAAGCATAAAGAGGGATAGGAAAAAGAAAGCTCAGTGGAGAGGTGAGCAAGGGCAGTAGGGAAAGATGGGATCATATTAGAGGAAAGGAAGATCATAGATTTGACAATTTCTCTCTTAATGAAATGATGCGCAATTCTCTTGTGTGTTCGAGAAAAAAAATGAGACAATGGGGCCTCTATTTCTATAAACTAGGTCAACGGATGCTCAATCAGGCTTATAAACTGAACAATCATGGTTGAGAAGGTGCTGAGTGTTTAACACTTCAAAAGGCTTAGTACACTCATATCAATGGCTGATGACCACACACCAATATAACAACCACCCTATAGGAATAGGCCTATGCTGATAAAGGCTTAACTGTTGAAGTTAAAGTGCAAAGAACAATAAGAACAATATATACCATAATACCTGACAACCTGTAAAGCTTTCACAGGCAATTGTGGCAGTCAATTCATTGAAAGACTTCTGACCTTTACCAAATGCTTCCTAAGAATCACAAATAGATTCCATCACTCCCAACATTTTTTTTTTTTATTTCAGCTTCCCAGAAAATTTCAAATGACCTATTAAAGAAACATACCTTACCTTAGAAGCACGAATCATTTCTGGGTCAGTCCAGGGTCCTTTATCTTGGAATAAGCATCCTCCTGTTGGACAAGCGCATGTTCCGCCTAAAAGGTCTGGTAAATTGCTGCAGAAGGAGCAATCATTCAAGCAGCTAAAGATGCAAACGTTGCACATGACTTGATGCACTTTTACCTTGGGTCAACAGCTTCTAATACTGTGTTAAGGTAATTGGTCCCCAGAACCTAACAAGTAACATAGAGGTAAGCATTCACTCTATTTTGTCAAACAATAATAGTGCAACAAAAAGATATACTACCTGAACCTTTGCTAACGTTCTTGACTCCATGAATGCTTTCAATACTTTCCACAGTGCTCTAAATCCAGTTCCAGCATTAATTATATAAAGTTGATTTAATGTCTGTAGCAAGAAGCAAGATACGAATGAGCAGACTGTGGCTAGTGCAAAAGCCACATTAGATGTTCGATCATGGACATAACCAAAGACAAACCTCTGGGTAGTAATTGCTATCGATCTTTTGGATCTCTGCGAACATCTCCCTTGCAGATTTTGAAAAGTTATTCAACCCCTGCATAACGGCAGCCAAGAAAAAATATATGATTGCGTACAGATAGTCAAATAACTTCATTATATGCCAGATAGATAACTTAAAAACTAACATATAAAATGTCTGATAGTTCCAGGTAGATATGTATTAGTTTCATGTATGTGGAACACATGTCTAGACATAAAATGAAATGTGAGCAAAGCCCTGTAAAACTTACAAAACAGTAATAAGTCAAAGCATCTCTATTCTCTAATACTACCTGCTTCTAACATGAAACTTGGGTCACTGTTTTAGAGAATGAAGAATGGCTGAACATTTAGGCAACTATTTTCTTATAAACTGGAATATATGAAACATTAAAGGGAAGTGCTTCATTTAGCTATGACGCACCAGTCCTTTCACATTGAATATGGCTGTTGTCGAGGCTATGTGCCTTTTAGCCACAAGTGAGCAAACAGGATATCTCAAAGATATAGTTTTCTCTTGTTCTGATATATGATATTTTACATATCGATCAAGATATAGTTTTCTCTTGCATGAGCTTACTGAGATCCACCAAGCCAACCCGTTCGATATATAGAGGCCTGCCAAATCTGTCAACTCCATGAAATCCATGAGGATAGCATCTTTTCACAGCATCATACTCCTCAAATTTAAAATCCTGTAGCATAGAAACAGACATTTAAGCTTGATATTTCATTTTTTAGATGAAGGAAGCTTTATCCATAATAAAATTCCAGCTAAGCTGATATGCACAGTGCCACAGCCATAAGCTCGAATTGCAATAAAAGTACATGCGGCATTTATGGTACAGATAGAGCAAAGTTCCAAGATAACTGTAAGCATAAATTCTTGTAACAAACCAGAGATAAAAGAAATGTAACACACAATAAAAACACTACATACGTTTGCAATGGCATCAACAGAACAATCTTCACGCCATTTTAACATATTTAAGAACATCTCTTTTGCTTTTAAGATGTTGAAGCCTCTGCAAGATGAGAGAGCAATGAGGTCATGATCTCTTCTGTTGGAGTATGTGTATTAAGGCCCATATATGGCCCATGTATGACTCCAACATAGCTACCCTTCTAGGGTTAGCCCAATAGTAAGGAATCACAATTCTATCATGGTATCAGATTAGGTTTCCCCCTTTCCTCCCTCTCCCAGCTGCCAGGCAGGCAGCCGCTGCCGCCATGGCCGGTGGCCCACCACCTCCTCCCCCTCCCTCCTACTTCCACTGCTTCCCCCCTCTCCCTTCCACCTGGGCGCAAATCGCGAGCCGCGCGCGCCCCGGAGACCCAGCCGCCGCCGCCGCTTCTCTTCTCGCCGCCGTGGGCCTTCCAGGCGCGGACGCAGGCGGCGCGGATGCGGGCCTCCCAGCGCAGATCTGGCGGGCGGCGCGCGCACTCACAGCAGGCTGCTGGGCCTCCACGACGACGCCAAGCCGCTGCTGCTGCTGAATTCCAGGGCCAGCGCGGGTGGCTCTCCATTTCCCGCCCCGCCTCCTCTGCCGTTTCACGCAGCGCCTCCACCGGACTCCGCCCTCGCAGCGGCTCTCGTCACCGCCCGGGCCGCTGCCGCGGAGGGCCAGGCACGCCTGCGCGCGGCGGCCCAAGCCTGGGAGCGGGAGCGCGATGCGGCCGATGTTCTGGCCCGTCAGATCGCCGAGGCGGAGCAGCTCCTCGTCCATCCGGTGTACCACGACACCACTGCCACCTCGTCTGCTTCACGTCCGTCCCCTACAGTGGTTCTCTGGCCCAACTCGGCTGATCCACTCGTCGCGCAGCTGCACTACCAAGCCGGTGGTGTCCAGAACATCCGGAGCCTGGTTCCTGTTGTCCTCGACCCTAAGTCGCCCTCCTACGCCCGCTGGCGGGACCTGGTCCTTCTCATCCTCCGCCGCTACGCCCTAGACGACCACGTCCTCACCGGCGCCCGCTGCGGCTCGGACCCCTTCATGGCTGCGTCTCGACAAAGATCGCCCTCTCGTGGATCCTGGGGACCATCTCCCTCGACCTTCACGACCTCGTCCGCAGCACCCCTGAGAGCACCGCCCGCCACAGTTCGGGCTGGCGCCGAGGGCTTCTTCGGGCAACGCCGGCCCCTCGCCTGCGTCTCGACGCAAGCTTCCGCACCTTCGTCCAGGGCGACCTCTCCGTTGGCGAGTCCTGCCGGAAGATGAAGACCATGGCAGACTCCCTCGGTGACCTTGGCTGGGCCGTGGAGGACCGGATCTTGGTCCTCAACGTCCTTCGCGGCCTCAACGAGCGATACAGCCACCTCCGCACCTGGATCACCCGGCAGCGGCCCTTTCCCACCTTCCTCCAGGTCCGTGACGACCTTGTCATGGAGGAGCTCACTCAGGGCATCACGCCTGGGTCACTACCCGCGCCGGGGTCCTCGTCTTCCTCGACCGCTCTTGCGCCACCTCCTCCGCCGTCCTTCCGCTCCGCCATTGTCGTCCTTTCTTGGTCCTCCTCCTCCCGGCCGCGGGGGGGGGGGGGGGGGCGTGGCGGCCATCGTCGTCGACGCTGGGCGTGGTGCGGGCCTGGCCGTGGGAGTACTCCGACGCCTCCACGGGTACACCTGCCCTCCTTCAACAACCCTTGGTCAGGGCGCATCTCCATGTGGCCCTTCCGGGCTCCCGGGGGCGAGCCTGGTCCACCGGTGGCCATGCTCACCGGCGCCGTCCCAGTCGCCCCGTTCTCGTCGCCGTGGGCTCCACCTACCGTCTCGCCAGGCTCATCAGTTGGGACCCGACGGCTTTGGCCCGCTTCTTTCGGCACCATGACCACGACTCCTCCAAATGGCCCCAGATCGGATCGCCACTCGGTGCTACCTTCCACACCACCCCCAACCCTGGTATACTCTCTTCTGTTCATCCTCCTTCTTCCTCCCACCCTTCGTCCATCATGGTCGCCAATGGTTCGTGTCTTCCTGTCACTTCCGTGGGTGCCGCTCACACTCATGGCTCTTTTCGTCTTCCTGATGTCCTTGTTGCTCCCTCTATGGTTCACAACCTCCTTTCTATTCGCTGCTTTTACACCGACAATTCCTGCTCTACATTGAATTTGACTCCTCTGGTCTTCTCAGAAGGATTTGGCTTCCCGCCGTCCTCTTCTCCGATGTGACAAAGACGGGGCCCCTTTACACCCTTCGTTTCTCGTTCGCTTCTTCCGCTTCGCCTCCGCTTCGTCACCGCTTGCTTTTGCATACCACTTCATCCACTACATGGCACCGGCGTCTTGGGCATCCCGGCCGTAATGCTTTGACCCAAATTAGTCGTAGTTCCGACATACCATGTACTCAGCTCACGATGAGCACTTGTGTCGAGCATGCCAACCGGGCCGTCATGTTCGCCTTCCTTTCCCTACCTCCTCTTCCCATGCGACCCATATTTTTGATCTTGTACATTATGCGACCTATGGACGTCTCTGTTATGAGCATTTCGGCTATAAATACTATCTTGTCATGCTTGATGATTTCTCTCATTATTCTTGGACTTTTCCTTGCGTGCTAAGTCTGATGCATTCCCCACGCTTCTCCACTTTTTCGCCTAGGTGTCTACTCAGTTCGGCCTCACCATCAAGGCCGTTCATTGTGACAATGGGCGTGAGTTCGATAACTCCAACTCTCGTGATTTCTTCCTCTCTCACACGGTGTGCGATTCGCATGTCATGTCCCTCCCTACCTCCTCCCGAGCAGTAAGGGCTTGGCGCATGATTCGCACCACTGAATCCACACCATGCGCACCCCTTCTGCTCCGAGCTTCGCTTCTGCTCACTTCACAGGTGAGAGTCCACACCTCCACCTACCTCCTTAACCGCCTACCTTCCGTTGCCTGCCTAGCTCCCACTCCACACCATGCTCTCTTCGGTACCCCCCTCGTTACGATCACTTTCGTGTCTTCGGGTGTGCGTGTTACCCTAACACCACCGCCATCGCCCCCACAAGTCGGCTCCCGCTCGACTCAAAGGTGTCTTCCTCGGGTACTTCCTGGATCACAAGGGGAACCGTTGCTTTGACCTCACCTCTCGTCGGATCCTCATCTCTCGCCACGTGGTGTTTGACGAGTCCGTCTTCCCTTTCTCCACCACCTCCCCACCCCCCTCCACCCCCGACCTTGACCTCTTCTCCCTGTTTCCCACTGACACGGTGGACCAGCCACCATTGACGTTGTGTCCTGCAGGTACTGCTCCACCGTGCCCTTCGCCCGTGTCCGTGCGCCCCCGACCCCACGCCTAACGCTGGTCCGGGCGGCGCCGGACTCGGTCTTGCTCTGCCCTGCGCCCTCGCCTGCTGGTCCGGAGACCTCGGCTTCAAGATTGCTGCGTGTTTCAGACAAATGGGTGCGTGTCTACCACCGCCGAGTGCGGCCGGCTCCGCTGCATCCGGAGCCGGCCCCGCCACCACCGTCGCCGCCTCGGTCACCACCGGTGGCCTCTTCTCCGCCGTCGACACCTCGCGCGCCACCTCCGCCCCGGCTACCGTGTCGTCGCGCAGATGGTGTACCACCCACCATCGCTCTCAAGCGCCTCCTCCGCTACCTCCGGCACTTTGTCGACTATGGCTCGCTTCTCCACCGGTCTCACTCCACCGACCTCGTCGTCTACATCGACGCCGACCGGGGCGGGTGTCCAGACACTCGGCGCTCCACTTCCGGCTATCTGTGTCTTTTCGGCGGCAACTTTGGTGTCTCTGGTCGTCCAAGCGCCACCGGTGGTCTCCGCTCCAAAGGTGCTTAGGAGTACCGCATTGTCCGCTAACGGCGTGGCGGAGGCCTCCCCGCTCCGCCAGCTTCTGCCGAGCTCCACAGTCCCTCTCCCGAGCACGCTTGTTTATCTGCGACAACGTCGGTCGGTGTACCTACCTCTCCACCAACCCTGTTCAGCACCAGTGGACCAAGCATGTGGAGATCGACCTTCACTTTGTCCGCGATCGGGTCGCCATCGGCGATGTTCGGGTCCTCCACGTCCCGACCACCTCCCAGTTTGCCGACATCTTCACCAAGGGCCTCCCGTCCTCCACATTCTCCGAGTTTCGCTCCAGCCTCAACATCACCGGTGGCTAGTTGCGTTTGTGGGGGGGCTCGTGTGTGTTCTTCTTTTCATGTCCATCCAGCAACTCAACTGCTAGCCGTGTAGTTCAGATCATGAAAATGTTGGAGTATGTGTGTATTAAGGCCCATATATGGCCCATGTATGACTCCAACATAGCTACCCTTCTAGGGTTAGCCCAATAGTAAGGAATCACAATTCTATCATCTTTAGTGCAAAACTGGAAGGAAACAGGCATCCTAGAACTATCAAAGATAAAACATCTCCTACCCTATTACTGGATGGATTATGTCAGTCTAAGAACAATATATAACATAATTTTCCAGAAAATAAATAAAATGGGCATGCCGTAGAAGGACATAGTAGTCATCAAACTTATTTGGGAGCTGGTTACTTGCAAGAAGTAACTCCCTCAAGGATTGCACTAATCGCTCTTTCCTTCGGTCATGGACACCGTCAACAATATTAAGAGAAATTTTGGTTTTGCTGTTCCTCCTAAGTAATCGCTTCGATGGATCTGAAGCTCATCTTTGATATGGAGTTTTTGCTTTGTACTTGAAAGAGGTGCCAATACGCTTCAAATAGGAACTCAATAAATTAATTACGAAGCTATGAATTTGATATCAAAGCCCTCAATAAAGGAAAGAAACATATTGCTTGTATTGCCGTAAATGCAGTCTTGGTCTTCTTGAGTACATTATGGTCTTTTAGCATTCCAGTTTCTATTATTTGGTTTAAACATGTACAAATAGTTAGGATGGGAATCTCATACAGAATAAAGAAACAGGATACGGATGCACCCTTAGGTAAAATTGTGCAGCATATGGTCATTTTGCCCAAGTTAAATTTCACATAATCTCTGAAAGTTAAAAAGTCATTTATAGATGTTTATCTATAATTCTATATAGCCCGATATTAGGTAAAAAAAATTCTAGTAGTATTAATAAAAATATATACCAACAAAATGAAGCATTCAGTTGACTATAGTGTAACTAGAATAACGGTCCAAATAGTTATTCTACTCTTCAGCGACATAAAATATAGGGGCTCTTGCATTTGTACCCTTGTTTTGTATCGAAATTGTGATTTTACCCCTGTTTTTTTGACTTTGTGAATTTACCCCTATGATTTCAAAACGAAGCACCAGTTTACCCCTGCTCCGTCATCCACCCCTAACGGTGTTAACTTTTGTACCAAAGGACAAATATGCCCTTGTGATTTTACCCTCCCTCTCGCTCTGCGTCTCCCAGCCCGACACAAGGGGCAAGGCCCTCGGCTCTCCTCACGTCTGCCTCTCCTCACGACCCCCCTCCCTCCCCCTCCCTCTCCTTCTCCAGCCCGGCGCCGCCTCACCACTCCCCTCCCAGCGACGTTCCTCCCCCCGGCGGCGCGATGGTTGGAGCTCGCGGCGGCGTGGTGGCTGGAGCTCGTGGTGGCGCGGTGGTGAGGGCCGCAGCCGCGTCCCTCGCAGCTCGAGGCGGGTGATGCGGCGGGAGGCGAGATCCGGCGACGCTCCTCCGCTCCCCCAGCCAGATCTAGTGGCGGTGCGGGGGATCGAGCCCCCTCTCTCCTCCCTCCGGCGATGGTGCGGCGCGTGGACGACGGATTCGGTGGCAGCTCGGCGTGGGGACGT